CATTCCTGCTGAACCGCTCTTCCGATCTAACTTCACACAACACCCTGGACTGGATTCACATTTGCAAACCACAGGCACACGCCGAGCTTACCAAAAACCAGCTAGATGGATCACGATGAGATGATCAAACCACATTAAGGAACGCGTATACACACACAAACGTGGATCCATTTCTGATAAAAAGCTGGTGGAATGTAATCCACTGTTTGCAGTGATTCGTCATCGTTATCTTACAGGTCAAACGCAAAAAACGGGAAGGATGCTACGCTACTGATGACCCTTGGTCTGACGTTTTGGGGGAGGGAGACGGTGGTACTTAGGGCAAATACCGGGAGTATAAGTGATTCGAGATTAGGATTCAGGGCTGTAAGTTTGACCGAACCAATTCTGTTGTACGTCGTAGAACTGAATGGTGATCCGGAAGCTGACTGCTATTACATTGGTGTCTGCCGAATATCGCCAAACACAAGCAACTAAAAAGTGCTGCTTTCTGAAGATTGCTACTTTTACTAAGTGGAACTGCTCATTCGTACAGATAGAGTCTGACGAAAATTGGTTTGGTACGTTATGTGACTCAAAAACAATAGAGGGGTCTATCCCCAGTTGAGCGGATAAGATTTTCCCAAAAATGAACAAGCCAAATGTAATGAATATATATATAATTTTTTGAATTATACAAATATCAACAATCGATTTTCGACTGCGGCCACACATTCCAGTTCAATCCCCACAATACCACGTTGTTAGTATTGATTTACTGACTGATGAGACCAGTCTGAATCCCTCAAATTTAGTGAGCCTATAAAATCTCCCAGGTGAATGAAAAATAAATCAACCAACTTTGATAATCCTTGGAAGGGATCAGTATGGATATTACTGAAATCCCTCACCCATACAAAATTTTTATTCTTAATATTTACTCATATTCTACTGATCAGGATTCCAATCTGTCGGAACGCGGTAGCCGTTAAAGTGCCGAATTCGCCGTCTACCAGCAGTCGGAACATCAAGCTGTGGTGAACAGATAACTTCCGCAAATCAAACTCATATATGATATAATATTTCATCAAGTTAAGGTTCTCCATTGACGAATGGGGAAACAAGTTCCGGCCAAACCACAACTGCATGGCACTAACTTCCACTTGACTCACATTCTCCTGTGGTTACTTGTTCAGGATAGATAAATTGATTTGGAGTGACCATCCTTCGGACTACACCCAAACAATGCTGGGCTTGTTAAAATGATGAATTCATCGCTTAAATGAGGCGTGAGCTGAAAAGCTGGGACCTAGTTGGGTTCCATCAGCAGTGCGAATCAATCGACCCAACTGGAGATCGAACCCGGGACCTCACAGATAGCACGGAAGCGCACTACCCACTCTGCCACCGGGGGGCTGATCAGACCATTTGTCATTTGGAATATACACGCTGTGGCACAACCGATCTATGCGAGCTTGTTACGAGTATCGGTTCTCGTTCATGTGAGCACCAGCTTCCAGGCTTATGAATCGGTTGGAAACTTTCACAACCTGAGTTTATGCACTGAACTGAACACTCAGGAAGCAAAATGCTCAGGCTTCCTTCGCGTTAGAGCTTATCGGTAGTGCATTTTCGGATGATTCGTTATGTGTCTGAGCTGCAAACTCCTTGGACGAATCAACCAGGTCACACCGTCAGCTTTGGCAATTATGTGACGCATCAATCACGTTCGTGATTCCGCGGATCAGTTTTCGCCCGGACATCTTCGAGAGCCTGAACACATGTTCCTCAAGTAAATAATTTTGGTCTTAATGAAAATATGTTTATTGCTGTAGGTGTGGGATCTTGAAGGGTATCTCTCCTTAACTATCGTCTCTCTCAGAGTGTCTACTTATTTGCTTCATTCAAGAAAACGGACATCATGTGGAGCTTACAGATAAATTCCATGCTCCACGGAAGCTGACAGTATATGTTGATGGGTGTAGGACGCTTTGTTGAACAGTCTCTAGTGCTAAGATTCAAACAGAATGTAAGAAAAACAATTTATTGTACGAAAGCTAGATAACAGGGTTGCGTTGTTTTCAAACAGTAGCAGTTTACGCTTCTGTGCAACCACACTTTATTCTCATTCGGACAACTACTGGAAATTCGTGAAATTTTTCCAAACGCAAGAAAGTATTCCGCGCTTCGTTCCTGGCAATCAATGGATCTGTCATATTTGTCTATCATCAATGAAGAAAGTGTCTCACCCTTCGTATTGCAACACAAATAAACGTGCCACCCTGTTTCTGATCTGCCTTTTTCGATGTTGCGTTATGCAGTGTTATCACTGTCCAGTGATAACATTATTCATTCCTCCAAATAGCGAGTTAGCCGCAAATAAAGTCATTCGCGTATTCTTCGTGTACGTTATATCTTTCACCAGCACGTTTGTTTGGTTGGCAATCACTCAGCACCTTGGATACTTTCAGTGCAAGCTCCTATTTCTCTAAAATCTTTGAAGTCCATCTTACCTCGAATACCAGAAAATTCAACGGCTTTTCCCCTGGTCATACTCTCGACTGCGCAACCCCCAAGCGGATCCCATATTCGCATGTACCATTGGTAATACATTTATCCACACCATGAGATATTGAAAAATTATCCTCTCCTATTGAACCCATGCTGAGGTAGATTTTGCAATGGTTCTCCTTTCCTCACAATACCAAGTAACTTAGTCACAAAACTTGACGTGGATTTCAGTTACACAGATAATTTCCCAATCTTGAGCTTCTAAGCTATCGAAATAAGCTCCTGTTGGCCCCGAATCATAAAATGTTATTGGTAACACCCACAAAACAACTCTCCGCTTACCCAGTTTCAGTGATTCGTATCTTCTGCACCAATAGGCAACCGACTGGTTATTCATCAAAAGCGTTCAGTCAAAGGAATACGGTATTGTAGCTTGTTAGGGATCAGTGTTCCTGAAAGAACAGGGCGATTGGTTAACTGGAAGGTGGGAATATTTTGCAGAGTGAAAACTTCCAAATATGCAACATTACGTTTAACAGGCTTATATGAAAGGAAATTTGGGATAGATCGTTTGGATGGCAGTTTAGTATCTAAGTCTTTCGTACTACGTTATGCTGCAAAACTGCTTCCCGTGAACCTTTATAACATTGATCAATATTGATGCCTTCAAATGATCTTTTTTGCGGTACCCCTATCGATCGGGCTATGTGCCTCGCAGTAGTACACTTACATGCGTGTAATGCAGTTGCACACAAGGGAATTAATAATTATTTTTAAAGCACATATATGACATTCTCTAACTCCTTATTTTAAAAAATCATCATTCTAAGCTTGAAGTAGGACAGTGAGACATCAACACCCGGTTCACCGGTTTGACTTAGCCTATCAAATAGCTTGAGAAAAAGTTAACGGAATGTGCAAAGGCGTCAGGTAGATGAATAAATTCAACTCTATTTCACTGCCCTGTGGGTCGGGTTTATGAATGGGATCTTCCCCGGGTAGATGAGAATAAGCTTAATTTATTTCTTTAAACGGAATTCATTGTAATCTGTCACTGAAAATGAGAGAGTTAGGGCACAATCAATAGCAAAGGTATGCCATTGAAGTCAAAGCATAATCTTGGATAACATTCCGTGTTCCTAGGTTGATGCTTCACAGATGATTTTACAACCGAAAAACAAATAAGGGATAAAACCATAACTGTGTTGTTTTTAGTTTACAAGGGGTGATATAAGGTTCCAAGTTTACTTTAAGAAACTATCACTGTGAATTGGAAAGATATAAGTTCACCTTGAGGACGAAGCCATGTTGTTTGTGTGAGACAGCTGAGATGAACTCAAACCGAGAAGCACAAACTCGTATTATCGGCATACAAATTTCGGTCCATGTGGGTAGTTTGGTTACCGAGGAATTTCGGAAAAAATCCAGAGTTAGCAGCATGTTTTACACAGCATACTATCTTGATTTTGTGCCCCAGTTCATGTTATTGTTAGCCCTGGTTACAGTTACTGTGGTTGAGCTATTGTCAGTGTCCGAGCAACTACAAACAGATTTTCCTTAACTTTGGCTAGCAGTGAGCGGTGTATCAGTATTCGTGTTTATCGATTTGGGGTCAACTCGGATGTCTGGCATATACCACATAGCTTCAACAATCAACTGAACCGATGTCCGTTCGCGAGTGTAATAAGACCCAAGACTGAGGTCTGCCTCATTTTAGCACAGAACGAACGTAGGAAGGCAGATGGCCTACCAGAGGGCAGAAAACCCTACCATCAATGGACCAATGAGATGCGCTGAGTGAAAGCGGATCCAACCACAGCGATTAGCTCCCAAGTTGATGTGATATTTTTCCTATTCAAAGTGCAGGTTCTCAAATTAAACTTGAATTTGTACATAACTTTTTTTGTCCATGGACAGAAGTATTTCTTAGGGACTCTCAATTCAGGCCTTTCAACTTGTCAGCCGAAATCCTGAGATCCACAGTGGACCAGACTGAGCTCGGTTTAACGCTAATTTGTTTTTCTTCCTTTGTGATGGATCATGGAAACTGACAAACACCGCGTTTGTGGTTCAAATCTTAGTAGAGTCGAAGATCACATGCATTGCTGCTGAAACCACTTTTCAGTTCGATAAGGCATTTTATGTGCTTATTACCTCGAATGTTTACATGGATCATTTTGCCATTTCAGATTGATGATTTTGCTTCGTATGTATTGCTCAGAAGGATCTTACGGTGTATTTTGCTTAAATCACTGTGAGGTGCCACCCGAATTCGATCCGGATCACGTGATGTGCGAAACAGGCAGATTTTACTGTCGACCGGGTAAGAAGCATACATACTGTCAGAAACACGTGATCGGTCGTGTGTTCATTTTCCAGGTTGGACCGGATTGAACTGTGAACTGAAAGACCCGTGTACGATGGACGGATTGCGATTGTGTCAAAATGACGCGAAATGCATTCCCACTTACACTTCGGGTCTAGGACCGGGTGATACAGCCACATTTCGATGCGCTTGTGTACCGGGATGGGTTGGTCCATTGTGTTCGATTCCGGACCTAAGGATGTGTGAGTTGAGGGATAGCAGATTAAACCTCGGGCCAATAAAAATTGCCCTTCCGTCCGTACAAATGCATTGATTAGCATCAATAATTGGCCATCTCTTTTTACTTCAATCCACTAAAAAGCTTGATTGATTCGAAAATAACGGTAAAACAACGTAATCCAGGGGGAGGGGGAAATAATGTGATTTAGAAATACCAAAGTGAACCGTGTTTCATCCGGCCACATTTTTTCTGAAATTATCGTTTTTCAATTTGTATAAGAGCAAATATTTTTAGTGGTTAAAGGATGGTGTAGTAAGATTCTGATGGACATCGTTTGTGAGTCTTCCACCCAAATCCTGCAGCATTGCTTAAGTTTCTGCCCACAGTGCAGTTACATTCCTGGATGGCTCAATCGAGCCTTACTTTCAGCAACCGTGACTAGTTGAAAAATGAAATGGGGAAAATGGTTCGCGCGATGCACACACCTTGTCCAAAGCGATAGAGAGCTCTCTGTACATTTGGGATTCAATATGAACGAACGGGAAAAGCGACATATCGCAACGAAATGTCAGTATTACACGATTTGCGGACGAGTCCCAAACAGAACAAAACAGCTGTCTTTGTCAGTCATCACAAATATGTTTCCGTCGCAGTTAAATCTTGCTGTATTCTAGGATTTAATTTGCTGACAATCCCATCAGAGAACTATTGTTGTTTGTAATAAAATTACAACACTGGGTAAGATTTATTAGCAATATTCGCAATAAATATTCACGTAAAACAATTATCATGATCAGCTTGTACAATATATTTTCTCATTGTGGTGAACGAACTCCTTTTTCAGTTATTCGCAATCAAAAAAATGCAATTAAATTTCATATAAGTATCAGTTTACAGAGAGTGAAAAATTACAGTCCTAATTGTTCGAATTTGGCTCCGAAAGAGTGCGCTTATCTGAAATCGATGACTGTGGCAAAAATTCATGTTTGTTATTCCAAAATTTGTTTTCACTATCTCTTGTTCTTCTCAGAAGTCTGCAGCTTAGTAAAGATGCCATATAGTTTCTTGTTATTCTGCGTTGTAGATTCCATCCTGAGTACTGCAATTTAGTTCAAATACGTTCATTTTCAGTCCAAAACGATCTCATTTTTTACTGTTGACTTTCGTCTTTTCCCAGGTCAACACGACAACAATACAGTTGGTACTTACAGTCCTTGGAGTAAGTGGTTTGTTACATTCGATTCCGAGTTGGAACGGAATGAAAGCGGTTGCGTTTCGAAAAAAACGTTACTTTATAGTTTATATCTATTGATCTCATATGGAGGAGTTTTATGAAAATTGAAGTATCTCACTTTAGAATCAGTTCTTTGCGATTGATTTGAATTTCACTTCTTTATCCGTTTATGTGAAATTGTAACTGAAAAATTAATCTAAAACAGTTCCCCTTCGCTGATATTCTAACTCACAGGGTTTAGTTTTATTTGCTTCCCTAAAACCTCAGGATTCTACTGTAAAACTTGCCATGCTTAGCAGAAAAGCACAAGTATTTTACTGTCATTGGCTCTTTGTAATAAGAAAAACCATTTAAACTAAAGATTCGATGATACAAACACACCTAATAACAAAATCACCCTTATATTTACAGTTAAAACAAATCAGTGCTCAGTGGGAGTGGATTTCCTAATCATCTGTTTTGGGAAACTGCTGTCAACTCATGTCCCTCAAACGAATCAATTAAACCCGCCTATTAGTTCAGACTACTGACAAGGATAATAGTAGCCACAACGATGTCGGCTAAAAATAGCGTCGAAATTATTCCATTCTAACATTTGAAAAAGGTTAAAAATATCTTCAATGGTAAACTCCACATTGTAGCGTTTTGCAATACAGTGTGGTTGAAATGGGTTTCTAAAATCTGAATTACCATGTTTTGAAACAAATCTGAGCTGGGTTTTGTGAATAAATGCCAACTATCCTGAACAGAACAAAAAACATTGAATCACTGGATCCGGATGCAATCTTGTCTCGTACCACTATGGGAAAAGGGCTGTTGCTTTCGACAACTCAGACGTGAACTTCACCTAATTGAGCAACACTGATCGGAGGCACTCGGCACAGGATTGCTGAAAAAGTGGAGCAAGTTGTGATTGCATCTTAATAGTGCACGCACACTTGCGCCCGGAACAGCACATAAAACCACGACTCACGACTCATTTCTCACAGTTGTCGTCCAGTATACATCATTGACGTTAAATACGACAAACAGAATTCAAACCGAACAGGAACTCATAGCACGAAACTGCTTTAACTGTAAGAATTTTGCTTCGGTGAATTGCAAAGACAAAAGAGTGACACTCCATGTATCGCGGCGTTTCAGTTTTCCACAAGTCGCGCACATCCTGACGATTGACGTGAACACAACCACACAAGTGTGAGAGTCTAATCATGTGGGTTGTACTATCGCACATCACTTGGTGAGTAACTTGACCAAAAGATGGATAAAACTGTGCACTATCATCGTTGTATCTATTTACCGTTCTGCACGCGCTTCCGTCCACACATTTATTTGGCCAGCTATTTGTCACTCGCTATTGTTCGAACCCAGGTATATTATCGATCGTCCACTTTTGGAGCCCAAACATGGGGTTTCTACTCATCACGAACGATCTCATTTCTTTGTTCGCCTAGCAAAGTCGAACGCTCTTACCCCCTTTCACTTCCGCTGTCTCTGGCCCTGGTATGATATGATTCACTGGGCCTTCCAACTGCGGAAGCGGTTTGCCAGATCTTATTCGAATTATTTTATGCACCCCGTTCCCTTCAACGTTTTCGTAAGAGCAAGAAGAACTATCATGATCACAGGACGTATTGAATTTTACACAATCGTGGTAATCTCATCGGCGATTTGCATACATTCACATTACGTTTAGTTATAAGAGCATCAAGTTTGGAGACGGGCGAACTCACACGGGCAAGATAAATCAATCTCCAAGGAAGCCAGAGGTCACAAAACCGATTTGGTATAAGGAGAGGGAGCTTAATCACTACAGGGGGCAGTCATTCTTACCAGAACAACATGGGGCTGGTCACGAATTCAGTCCTTCTACAAGATTCGGGTTTGTAATGTCGAATTGCAACTGCCTCAATGAACCGTAGTAAATAGCTACCCTTCTGTCCTTTCTAGGTTTATCACAATCCTTGCAATCCGGTCTATGACGAACAATTGAAATGGAAGAAAGCTTGGGCTAGTTATTTATCAAATTCTTCGCTACATTCTCAGATATCCTTGTAGACAGTCGTCTCTTAGTTCTGCCAACGTACTTGCTGTCACAAGTACATTGAAAAAGGTAAACACAGGGAAGGTAACTGCAGATTCAGGTTTGTCTAGAATGGCTTCAGTGAGCATTCGTTTCGTGTCCTGAAGTAGTGCTAACGAGGCAACAGTTTAGGTTCTTGTAATTAGCTGCCTTAACCTGCACTGTAATCGCCTTTCATTTAGATCCCCTCTTAACTGTGTAGCGGTGCCACTCTGTTCTCGTTTATTCAAAGATATTCCATATTTTGCAACCAACTGTCTCTCTCTCTGGCGGTCTCCATTTTCGAAAAATGTGGTTGATATGCAATGAAAATCGAACAATAACGTTTCACCAGGACAGATTTTCCTGGATCTAAAGAACAAATCGTGCACCCACGACCGTTTATCTTGTAATGGATAGAAACTTCCGAAATTAAAATACTCTCTCAACCAGATCGGTTTGTGAAATACAGATCTGATGAGAGATCCGTCCTCTTTTATCATTAATTTGACATCCAGGAACTGAAAGGAAAATTCATATTTGCACTCAACTGTGAATCCAATATTATGATGTGAATGGTTGAGATCTTAAGCATTACTTGTGCGTTTGTGTGTGCTGTGAGTTAATACAACGGTTTCATCATTATCATAGCGGTCGTAGACGTGCACATTACCCATACGTTGTCATCGTTTCGTATTCTCCATGTGTCCCATGAAGGCATCTGTCAGGACCGGTCCTAGTGAACTTCCTATTGCAACTCCTTCAAATTGACGATCACAATCGCCGCTGGAACAGAACTGTACATCTCTGTCACATAGAAGCA